TAGCTCTCATCAAGGGAGGTATATCTACAACTGCACCGAAGATAGATACAATTTCTTAAAAAAGAAGCAAGAATAATAGTAGAACCGACATCTTGATAATTAGTTTCTCTCTTACTGCTTTTGGATATGTTTTGTTGGTGATTTCTGTAATTCTGTTCTGCACACATAATGCATGGGCAGATAAAAGAATGAGTACTCCCAATGGTGACTCTGAATTGAATGAGGATGTCGGTCCACGCCCATATGCTTACGAAGAGTTAGAGAAGATTACTAGCAATTTCAGTGAAGAGGTTGGTAGAGAAGCATCAGGAACAATTTATAAAGGGGTGATTGTAAGCAGCCAAAAGCCGGTGGCTGTAAAAATATTAGAAAAAGTAGCAGCTGAAGGTGAGAAAGAATTTCAGACTGAGATGAAAGTTATTGGGGGAACTCATCACAAGAACTTAGTCCGCTTACTTGGATATTGCCTTGATGGACCAAAAAAACTGTTGGTATACGAGTACATGAGCAACGGCTCGCTTGCAGATGTACTTTTCACACCAGAAAGGCAACCAGTTTGGGAAGCAAGAATGGGAATGGCTCGCAACATAGCGCGGGGGTTTCTTTGAAGAGTGTGATACACAGATCATTCACTGTGACATAAAGCCTCAAGGCATACTAATGGATGAGTACATGTGCCCGAAAATCTCCGACTTTGGTTTGGCAAACCTGCTTAAGGCAAACCAAACGAGAACAATACTGGAATCAGAGGAACCAAGGGGTATGTTGCACCAGAGTGGCATAGGAAAATGCCGATAACAGTTAAAGCGGATGTTTATAGCTTTGGAATTGTGCTTTTGGAGATCATATGTTGTCGCAGGAATGTGGACTGGAATCTTCCTGAGGAGGAAGCTATTTTGGATGAATTGGCCTACAACTATTTTGAGAGGGGTAAACTTGGGAAATTAGTGGCTGATGAAGAGATAGAAGGCAATTTGAAAGGATGATTAAAGTGGGGCTTTGGTGCATCCAGGATGAACCATCGTTGTGTCCTTCTATGAAGAAGGTTCTACTTATGTTGGAAGGAACTGTGGACATCCCAATTCCTCCCAGCCCCAATTCTTTTCTCAGTAGCATCTAAATTCAGCCTTACATTTGGTTTATGTAATAAACTAATTAATTAGTTATATTACTTTATGTAGTGAAGTTCTTTGCATTCTTCAATGTTTGTATGCCCCTATTTCCTTATGATGTGTATGCTGCTTTCATTTCTATGCACTAGTACTCTATCATGTACAGAATGGTAAGGTTATGAGAGCATTGTTTGTGCCAATTATCTCTGGGGAGAATATTCGTGAAAGATCCTCTTCATACGTGATCCTTTTCTTCCTCGATCCCTGCAAAATAGATGGGGTCAATAGAGCACATCCGGGGGTTGTTGGCAAAAAGCCCTTTGATGCCTAAGTCAGTTAAATGGTCTTAAGAAGTTGCAGCTTTAACTGAAAGGATAAAGCTGTCTCTTCAGGAAGAGAGATAGAGGGGCGGCCGGAGCTATGAGAAAGGGAGAGAGAGAGTTTTCCCTAGGGTTTTTGGAATTACCTCATGTGTGGTATGATGTCATCTTTATATAAAGACTCCTTCTTTGGTAGGGTTTGTAGAGAATAATTCCCAAATGAAAGGGAATTATCATTTTCCTTAAATGAGATGACATGATAATATCAAGGAAATATAGTGGGAATCAGATCCTTGATTTAGGGAGATATTTCTATCTGAAATCAAGGATAATTGAAGAATTAAATAGGATTTAATTAGCACAATTATTTGACCTAATAAATATTCATTTATCCACGTGTCACTTTGTGATTGGTTGCCAAAATTCATGTTCCCAAAAATGCCCCCCCCCCCAAAAAAAAAAAACTTCCGCATGGCGCTAGTAGGGCATGTAGGAGATGTGAAATACTTGTTGGGCTTTTACACTCCCAATTGCAGATGGGCTCCTTTTGAAGACTTTTGGTCTCCATGTTCTACACACACAAACTCTAATTGTAACGCCGAACTGAAATGGCTGGAGATCACGGATAGTAGCAATGTTCATTGTGTTTTGAATCTGAAAAAAGAAAAGGCTTTTATCACTATAAAGATGTGTACAAAATTATCTAGCAGTCAACAACATCGTCATGTTGGTCTCTCTTTCTTTTTATGTTATGTATTCATTCATGTTCATATATTGGCAGTAAAACACATCAAATAGCTATTGAGACAGTTTTTAATATCTATAACATGAAATCACCAAATGAATATATTCTACACAAAATTAGTATAAAAACATATGAACATAAAAACAAAAAATTAAAAATTAAAAATATTAACAACAATAGATCATTACACAATTTAGAGTGATCCATCAACAGCTGATGAATTGATTGTTTTTTGTTGGGGACAAAAGCAAGTGTTTCTAAAATAGAGAACAAAAACATAAAAGTTTTTGAAGCTTAGATCTTGTGTTCATTTTTTGTTTCTTATCAACATAGATATGAACCTCTTGTTTAACAGAACCAAAAATAACCACCAAATGGCTCTATCTAAAGTAGCAAAACACCACCTACAAAACATCAAAAGTAGACATGGTTAAGAAAGAAGAGGAGAAAAAGCAAGAAAAAATCGAAAAAATTGAAGGTTTTGATTTTCTAGTCCCAAAATTGTTCAAATATGTTTTCCTGTGTAGCGTTTTTATATGAGATGCTTCAACTTTGTTAGTCCACTACTAAAACAAAAGAAAAATCCTATAAAACAAAAACAAACAGAGACAAAACAAAACAGAATAACATCTCTCAAATATAAATCATTTTTGACATTGGCAATATCGCAATGCAGCCATAATGAAGTAATTAATCAATTTAATTAACAATGATAGCAGAATTGTAGATCAATGGGCAGCAAATTCCCCCGGCAAGAAATTTGAAGAATCCATTTCCTTAATTTATATTCATTGTATTTCACTGGATACTAACACTAAATAAGATATTTCAAATCCCATTTGAAACTATATTCTTTGCTGCAGAATGCATGATCCAATATCAAGATTTTTCAACTTTTTGGCATTAAAATGAGGCAAATCAAGACTTTTGAATATAATACAAAATCCATCATCCATTGTTCTGTTAGTTTTCTTGGTATTAGATTGCCTATTGGCCAAGTTGTTCGATCAGGTAAAAGCTTTTCATGCCTGCCACAATGGTAAGGAATTAATCTTCATAGTCTTAGACTTGGCTTTTTCTTTTAGAAGAACATTGACAACCACATATTTCCAAAGGCTAGTTGCAGAGAATTCTCTCAGCTTTTAGAATATTACATGTAAAGTTCTTTGTCCAGTTGAAAAATCTAAATACTTGTCTTTTAGAAAAACAAAAAGAATAAAATACTGGGGGCAATTCTTTTGAGCATAAATCAAACACAACCCAAAACAATTATAAAAAAGAAAAAGAAAAACAATCACTATATCAATCAACAAAAACGATTAAAAAGGAAGATCAAAAGAGAAACCAAATAATAAATATAAACAACAATTGAAATATTCATCAATTTTAATCCTTTTTTTTAATTTAAAAACCTGCCTAAGCAATGAAAAGTCACCTTAAACAATCAAAATCACAAAATAACTATATTTACGTAGTCGTTGTCCTTAAAGATTTGAAAATTCTTTGCTAAACTCGAAGAATTTCAGTTCTCTGCTAAACCCTAAAAATTTCAAATAGCAGCATATCCTGCTTACCAAAGCAAAGCTATCACCTGTAACAAAAGACCCAGCATATCCAAATACCCATTTTCAAGGTTTACCAACTAATTTTTAATAACCAAACAGAAAATATTATCAAAAGTAATCATATAGTATTTTAATAACTAAATTGTTTAACCTGATTTAATCAAAATAATAACACAATCAAATCAATTTCAGCATTTGGATAAAATTTGCAAATCAGTAACACAGACCCACGATGAGGAAAAATTAGGGATTTGGACTTTTAGGGCAGCAAATTAAAACAGGTCTTATAGTCTAATCAAATAAGATCCAAGATATTAGTAACAACAAAAATGAAAAAGAAGAGCAACAAAAATCAAATGGAAAGATGAAGCAAAATTTACTTACAGATCAGTGAGAGAAAGAGACTGAAACGGAGAGAAAGTTGGAGTTCGATCTGAAGAAGAAGACCAATGCAGTGGCGGAGAGTCGGTGCTTGTGATGATGACGGCGGGGGGAGAAGAGACGGGAAGAGAGTTGGAGAAGACGACTATGATCTCTGAGGCCTCTCTCTCTCTCACTTCTCTTCGATGAAGCGGCTTTGGTTTCTCTAGCGACCAGACAAAAGGGTTATGTCGCTATGCCTTAGGGCAAGAATGTCATTTTACTGAACATAATTAAGAGGGCAACCAATTAAGCAGGGGCACAAACGTCATTTTACTATTGCAAATGAATAGTCTAGGAACAGTGATTTTACTCAGCTTTAGTATATATATAATTTTGCCTTTCCTTTATGTTTCCAAAGAAGCTCAAGAAATGTCATATTCCCTTTTCCTTTATATTATATATCATCATTATTACTACTTATGTAAAGTTTATTCATCAAAATGCAGGGATTACGATGTTAAAAGTGACCGGAGCGATGGTGTTGAGGAATTCTATCGAATCAACTACATTAACCAAAGTGTTGACTTTGTAAGCAAACAGCTGCGGTTTAGATTTTCTTCAATTTGGAAAAAGGTTGTAAGCAAACAGCTGCATTATTGAAATCTTTTTTTGGCTCTTCCGTACAAAACTTGCAGTGATATTGAACGCAACAATGGTGTTAGGTTGTTCTTTTTTAATTAATCAGAGTTTCTTACAATGTGGCCTTAGGTGATTCACAATTCTTGGAGGATGAAAGCACAAAAAATTTTGCACGTAAAGTGGCAGATCATTACAGTGCAAGGACGAATTAAACGCTAGAAGAACGAGAAGCTAGTCCAATCATCCATTTAAAAATCTTAACAATTGGGTATGTCCTTTAATCTCAACAATGGTATAATCACACTCCATATTTTTCCAATTGCTTATAGTTCCTTCTCATATTGAGCAGATTAAGAGTGTCTTAATTCAACTCTATGCTCGCAGAGGAGATGCTGTACTTGATCTTGCGTGTGGCAAGGTATTGGTAGTCCATTACATCTTCATTTTTCCCCCTCCTTCCACTAATATTCTCTTTTTAATTTATATTTTTTCTTTTTGGCTAGGGGGGTGATCTCATCAAATGGGGCAAGGCCAAAATTGGATATTATGTTGGCATCGATATCGCTGAAGGCTCAGTAAGTATTGAAATTTGGTTATAATTAGCTCATTGGTTTACAATTTTATTTCACGTAGTAGTTCCATATATTTATAACGACTTTGATGTTTCTCTCCCTCTCCCTTCACTTTATCTAGCCTCTTAGGAGTTTCTCAACCATTTGGTCACCAAATTGTATTCAGAAATTTTATGATTATTTTTTTCCTTTCCCATGTATACTGGTATCAAAAATATTGGTTTTGTGTCGTTTGCATTCTTCGTTAGGAAATGAAACTGAAGCTACGAAAATTCTTTCCAAATATTTTTTATTTCATTTTTCTGTGTTGTTTTGTTTCACTCAATTCTTAAAGCTTTTTCTACAGGTGTTACTCCTTCACATTGTTTCTTCTTGTTTTCCCTTGAATGACATTTTTAACTGAATAACATGCAGGTTGTCATGACCTTAGATTATCGTAGGGATCATGTGCTCGGTTAAGTGTTGGTTTCAGTGCTCCTTAATGGGTTTTGGAAGCAAAGTTTACAATATGAATTTGAGGTTGGTCTATAAGCTGCTTTAGGTCAGAGTTATGTGTTAATATCATTCCCTCCAGTGAAGGAAGTTGTAACCTTTACGAGGAATTCCAACATGTGCAAGAATCCCATCGTGCGGTATGTTATTTACGATAGGCTTTCATTTTAGGATTTTAAGTCAAGTTTTCCAGTTATGTTCAAATTTTGGCCCATTATGATTCAAGCTGTTTGTTTCCAGCTTTTAATTTATGCTTGATTGTTATGACCCAATATTTGACATTGCATGTTGCAATTTTACATAAACTATAATCCTACTTGATTGTTATGAGTTGATTTTATTGAAAATGACAAAGGCACTGACATAAATGGAGAACAGGTACTAGAAGACTTATAGTCCACTGTAATTTTACTGTCCCACACCTTTTGTTAAAAGAGGCTTGAACACGATTTTTGCTATCTTTACTCTTGACTTCCCTGTAATTGGTTAATTTCTTCTTCTATTGTGCTCTAATATTTGTTTCTTGATATGTTAACCATTTTGTTCTTACACCGCTTCTCCTTTTTGTTCTAACTCTTTAAGATAAAAAATTCAGGTTCTAGCACATACAATAGTATCCGTTGTCGTGGCTGCAGTAATTGATCGCAATTGTATTTCATATTCTAACACTTACACCAATATGAAATTTTGGTTCTGCAAATGTAGGAAATATAGATAATAGAATTTGAGATATTGGCATGGTATTGTTAAAGCCTAATTGATGTTTTATTTTTGTACAGACAGTTGGTAGGAAAGCGTTGAGATGGGTAGTTTAAACATGAAGTGGGATCCAATTAATGACTTCTTGTTATCTAATTAGATTTTCTTGTTCACCAATATGATTTCGTAAATTTGCATATTGGTTCATTTGAAATGACAACATATCTTATGCAAATTTAGTACCTTGCACTTTTTAAGCTTTTGTTCATATATTGTGCTTACATTCTATGTGTTTTTTTTTCCAGTATAGAGCTAGAAGGAAGGACACGTACACCCAAATGGAATTGGATGATGTGTGAGAAGAATTGGCAACTCATGTCCTAGAATGGCTTTTTGATTGAGCTAAACATTCCTTCATTTTACATGTCTTTCTGGCTAGTATTTTGCTTATGCATAGACAAGTATGGATAATTTGTGGTGTAGGGCTAGTAAAATTGTGATTTGGATGTGACAAGTATGGATCATTGAAGTAGTTTGCTTATATATATATATATATATATATATATAGACAATTATGGCTATATTTAAATTATTGTTTATATAGTGTTTTTTTAATGAGCAATGGCAACACAACATGATTTGGAAATGAGGCCTTTCTTAAATGCTAACACAGTAACTAAGTAAAGTGTGATGTGAAACAAGCAAAATACCTACCCTTTCCTTACATAAGTGATGCCTATTGTTTATAACAACTTTAGTTTTCCAGAAATAACTGAAGTTGAGAGATAAAAACAATCAGACATCTATTATCACTAATGTCTAAAATGAGAAGTAGCATCAGCATTTATGTAACCACCAGCACTATTGAAGGCTTTTCATGTCTGCAAAATAAAAAAAATCGATGATGTATAACATAATTCACAACACCATTATTTATTTCTACGATGTTGTAATTGATAATACGCATCAGTATAATAGATGTCACTAATGCTGTTAGACCTCTTTAGCCTCATCCCTTCTGAAACTACTGATACTGTTTTAGGTTTAGGCGTCAAAAGTCAACCTTTTATTGGCACCTTGAAATCATTTACGCATCGGAGTTTACCAAATATCCGATGTAGTAAGTGACAAACAACGACAGAGAATATCTGTTGCCTGTTACATGGTAATAGGCAACAAGCTTGAATACCAAGCTACTTATGTGTAATAGGCAACAGATTTTATCATATGCTAAAGCCCTTTTTTGGCATAATGTCACCGACTGACTCCTCCCACCATATTACGATGTTGCCCATGTTTTGGGCTCAATCCGATATCGATTTGACAAAGAAATTGGACAATTCAAGTTCGTACGAAGTTTGTTCCGTAAATGGAGTGGTTGGTGTATTGCATAGGTTTAGTGATTGGATTTCACTCAAAACACACCAATTCACTCCTCCAACCATATTATGACGCTGCCCATGTTTTGGGCTTCATCCGATATCAATTGGCCAAATAAATTGGACAATTCAAGTTCGTACGAAGTTCGTTCTGTAAATGGAGTGGTTGGTGTATTGCAAAGTTTTGGCGATTGGACTTCACTCAAAAGTCACTGAATGAATCCTCCCACCATATTATAATGTTGACCAAGTTTTGGGCTCAATCCGATCTCGATTGAACCAAGAAATTGGAGAATTCAAGTTCTTACGAAGTTAGTTTCGCAAAAGGAGTGGTTGGTGTATTGCATAGGTTTAGAGATTGGATGTCACTCAAAACACACCAATTCACTCCTCCCACAATATTATGACTTGCCCTTGTTTTAGGCTCAATTCGATATCGATTGGGTAAAGAAATTTTACAATTCAAGTTCATGCGAATTTCGTTTTGTAAATAGAGTGGTTGGTGTATTGCAAAGTTTTAGTAATTGGATTTCTCTAAAAACTCACAAAATGACTCCTCCCACCATCTTATGATGTTGAGAAATTTTTGGGCTCAATCCGATATCGATTGAATCAAGAAATTGGATCGTTCAAGTTCTTTCCGTAAATGAAGTGGTTGGTGTATAGCATAATTTTGACGATTGGATTTCATTCAGAACTCACCGAATGACTCCTCCCACCGTATCATAATGTTGCTCAAGTTTTGGGCTCAATCTAATCTAGATTGAAGCAAGAATTTGGACAACTATAGTTCGTACGAAGTTCGTTCCGTAAATGGAGTGATTGGTGTATTGCATAGTTTTAGTGATTGGATTTCACTTAAAACAAACCAATTCACTCCCCCCACCATATTACGATGTTGCCCATGTTTTGGGCTCAATCCGATATCGATTTGACAAAGAAATTGGACAATTCAAGTTCGTACGAAGTTTGTTCCGTAAATGGAGTGGTTGGTGTATTCCATAGTTTTAGGGATTGGATTTCACTCAAAACACACCAAATAACTCCTCCCACCATATTATGATGTTGACCAAGTTTTGGGATCAATCCGATATGGATTGGCCAATGAAATTGGACAATTCAAGTTCGTCCAAAGTTCATTTCGTAAATGGAGTGGTTGGGGTATTGCATAGTTTTAGCGATTCGATTTCACTCAAAACACACAAAATGACTCCTCCCACCACATTATGATTTTGACCAAGTTTTGGGCTCAATCCGATATCGATAGGCCAATGAAATTGGACAATTCATGTTCGTACGAAGTTCGTTCCATAAAAGGAGTGGTTGGTGTATTGCATAGGTTTAGCGATTAGGTTTCACTCAAAACCCACCAAATAACTCATCTCACCATATGATGATGTTCCCCAAGTTTTGGGCTCAATCTGGTATCGATTGGTCCAAGAAATTGGCCTATTGTTGTTAAAATGTTAACTCGCAATTGTACGGGCCAAT